ACCCAGCGGACCCCAGAGGAACCCCGAGGAAGAGGCCTCCAGAGTGACACAGAGGAACCCCGAGGAAGAGACCTCCACCCTGACACAGAGGAACCCCGAGGAAGAAACCTCCACCCTGACACAGAGGAACCCCGAGGAAGAGACCCCTACCCTGACACAGAGGACCCCCGAGGAAGAGACCTCCACCCTGACACAGAGGACCCCCGAGGAAGAGACCTCTACCCTGACACAGAGGACCCCCGAGGAAGAGACCTTCCCCCTGACACAGAGGACCCCCGAGGAAGAGACCTCCCCCCTGACACAGAGGAACCCCCGAGGAAGAGACCTCTACCCTGACAGGTACTCACAATGCACCAGATGACAAATGAGGCCTCAAACTTGTGTGGAAAGCTGAAGATGGAGAGGCCAAGAAAGGCGAAGACGCATGTTTCTGGAGAGGAAAGAGAAGAGAGATCAGCACCCCAATAACACCGCACCCCAATAACACCGCACCCCCTTATACACACAGCGCCCCATTATACACACCGCACCCCAATAGCACGGCACCCCATTATACACACTGCACCCCATTATACACGCCGCACCCCAAATAACACTGCACCCCAATAACACTGCACCCCATTATACACACCGCACCCCAATAACACTGCACCCCATTATACACACAGCGCCCCAATAACACTGCATCCCATTATACACACCGCACCCCAATAACACTGCACCCCATTATACACACAGCGCCCCATTATACACACAGCGCCCCATTATACTTACCGCACCCCAATAACACTGCACCCCAATAACACCGCACCCCATTATACACACAGCGCCCCATTATACAAGGACCCCCGAGGAAGAGACCTCCACCCTGACACAGAGGAACCCCGAGGAAGAGACCTCCACCCTGACACAGAGGAACCCCGAGGAAGAGACCTTCCCCCTGACACAGAGGACCCCCGAGGAAGAGACCTCCACCCTGACACAGAGGAACCCCCGAGGAAGAGACCTCTACCCTGACAGGTACTCACAATGCACCAGATGACAAATGAGGCCTCAAACTTGTGTGGAAAGCTGAAGATGGAGAGGCCAAGAAAGGCGAAGACGCATGTTTCTGGAGAGGAAAGAGAAGAGAGATCAGCACCCCAATAACACCGCACCCCAATAACACCGCACCCCCTTATACACACAGCGCCCCATTATACACACCGCACCCCAATAGCACGGCACCCCATTATACACACTGCACCCCATTATACACGCCGCACCCCAAATAACACTGCACCCCAATAACACTGCACCCCATTATACACACCGCACCCCAATAACACTGCACCCCATTATACACACAGCGCCCCAATAACACTGCATCCCATTATACACACCGCACCCCAATAACACTGCACCCCATTATACACACAGCGCCCCATTATACACACAGCGCCCCATTATACTTACCGCACCCCAATAACACTGCACCCCAATAACACCGCACCCCACTATACACACAGCGCCCCATTATACACACCGCACCCCAATAACACCGCACCCCGTTATACACACCGCACCCCATTATACATACCGCACCCCATTATACACACAGCGCCCCATTATACACACCGCACCCCAATAACACCGCACCCCAATATACACACCACACCCCATTATACACACCACACCCCAATATACACACTGCACCCCATTATACACACCACACCCCAATATACACACCGCACCCCAATATACACACCACACCCCATTATACACACCACACCCCAATATACACACCGCACCCCAATAACACCGCACCCCAATATACACACCGCACCCCATTATACACACCGCACCCCAATATACACACTGCTAGCACAATCTGCTGTATCCACCCCTCAGGACACACCCCATGTATCCACCCCTCAGGACACACCCCATGTATCCATCCCTCAGGACACACCCCATGTACACACCCCTCAGGGCACACCCCATGTATCCACCCCTCAGGACACACCCCATGTATCCACCCCTCAGGACACACCCCTCAGGACACACCCCATGTACACACACTGCTCTGCCAGTAGATGGCGATATAACTCACCGCACAGGAAGGCCACAGTCCTCAGGGTTTGCTGCATGAGGATCTGGGTGACCGGGGACAGGTTGTGATGAGTGTAATGAGACATGACAATGCCGGCAAAGAGGATCGCCATTATCCCTGAGGACACACAAC